CTATTTTATCCCAGCGGACTGGGAAAACCACCCCTGCAAGGTAGGCAACCCACACGGCGTGCCCCCCCAATATTCAGGATCTTCCTACGCCCCTGGACTAGACGCGTCTTTGCAAGATTGCAACAATACGTGGCACCTCTCAGTCGCTCACAAATGCCGTCACTGACGGACACCTCTGTCTGGAATTGCCCAATTAGGAAGTGTGTGAATAAACTATTCTGTTTGTCCCTTTTAAACAAACTCTGTTGTGTATGTTTTATTATATCGTTGTTTTGTTTTGTATTCGAAGCCTCATCTCATAACACGGGAAAGTTGCACTTGTGCCAATCTTATATTATGAAATAACATCATACTTTTTCATAAATGTGAGTCGGGCAGGAGGGAAATTATAATTTTTCCGCTTCTTTGTTTGGTGTGTCGTGAGTCTTATAATTTTTAAATGATTTAATTTAGTTTCGTATCTGCTGAATGGATTTCTGTTATTGGTGGGTAAATTTATTAAACATGAATTCCTCATCAACCATGCCCCTTCATTGCACTAATACCTCCAAAACTTCGCCACCAGTTCGACCCTGTGGTTTCCTAACCCTGCTCGTAGTAAATAGAACGTCAGGGCGTGTGAAGGCGATCAGATAAATGGGTACGGCGCAGAGGTCACGGTGCCCTCCCCGCTACAGGTGCCTAGCCACCCCGTCACCCACAGGACTCTACGTCACCCCTACTTCCCCTGCCGCCTCACAGGCCAGCAGCCTGCTCTAAATACTGTGGTATTTTTCGCTTGTCTTAGGCGCTACTGATGTTACAGATTTGAGGTATGTTGTAACTTTCCACTGTTGAATAAATTATTTCGTCATTTCACGAAAAATGTCCTGTTAATTTTTCTAAATCGTGGCTCTGCTAAGGTTTTAGCAGCGGAGCTAAAAAGAAATTAACTGAGTAGACTCAGCTAATTTATGTAGCACCAGGGCTATTTTTTTAGCCATCCAGTAAGCCGCACCGTTCATTAACCGTGTAGCTAATGGCACTTAGCTGTACAGCTCAATATTTTTACATCCTGCTAATTTTTTTGCACGGGTGTAAAATTGTGCAGCTAAGCCGATTTGCACGGAACTGAATTCTATTTTTTTTGTGTGTGTGCGTATCGCCTTAAGAAGAGTGTTCTTGCATTCACACACAAGGAAGTGTGGGCTGGAAAGTATTGAATTTGCAGCGTTTCTGGGAAACATACCGTCCCCGATTAGCGGGCGTTGTGTTTCCCGCCACGTCGTGGCCTCCCGGCGCCAGCTAAGCGCCAGCCCGCCAGCCACACTGACCGGCAGTGCTGCACCGCGCCAGATTTGAATGCAGGGTGCGTCGGGGCCGGTGGCACGCCTCGTGTCATCGACTGTGTCCATTTGGCTTTCCTCACAATTATGCATTATATAATTACAATGATTTTCTCTACTTTTTACATGGTAAAGTTACTGTCGCAAAACCTGCCTCTCAATGTGTCTAGTCTCGGACAGTATAGTGTGCAGCATACTGCAGATAAAATCACAACCAGCATAGCACAAAGGCGATTAGTGTCTTCGGTGCCCGAAAGTTGGACGGGTCATTCTCTTTTGTCAGCGCACATGCTTCCTTTGGCAAAGGCTCAAATCTTTGCATTTTCCATGGATTCGGAGCTCGGCTCTACCGCGGGGGAAAGGGAAAGACACTCCCAACATAGCAGCACAACGAGCAGAGGGGTCCGGGGCTGCCTTGCCGTTTGCCGTATCTGATTTGGGTCGGGAGAGGAACACTCAGGCCGGCGTTACGTCTTGGCCATAAAGTTGTGTGAGTGTATGTGTGCGCGTGCGTTACAATCGGGGGGCATTTTCTAGGACGATGCTGCTTCTGGAAGCAGGCGCTGTTGTATGCGGATTTGAGTTTTCATCCCTCCTTTGCCTCCAGCTCGCAGATGGAGATGAGTTGTTGTCTTGTCGCACAACAGCAGCACGGCGCGTATAAACAAAAATCTGCCGAACGGGTCGTTTCGCTACATCAACTTCAATGAGGGTTAAGATATCAGTTCGCATGAACTGGAATTAGAGCCCCGCAAAGAGCGAGCTACGCGAGCTAAATGCCTACCCCGACCCTCCTCTCACCTGTCGAAGAAGGGGTCTAGCTCGCGTAGCTCGCTCTTTGCAGGGCTCTAACTGGAATCACCGGCAACTTAGGTCGTTGCCGGACTATTTTGCAGGTGTAGGCTGGAACTGAGAGCGACGAGCAAAAAGGGTTTTTGTTTTGGGGGGGGGGGATGTTATGGTCAGAACTAGCTCGATGCCCAGCCAGCAGCAGCGAACGTGAGGGGAGGAGGGGGGGATAAGGACGGATGTTGGCTCATCCGCCCACACCCGGACCCACCCCACTCCTCCCCTACCCTCCCGTGCCCTGGACGTGTGGTAGCGCAGCACAGAGATCCTTGCTCGTCCCCCCCCCTCTCTCTCTCCCGCTCCCTGCCCCACTTCCACCACCCCACACCCCCTTTCCCCCCTTTCTTCTCTATCTCACTTCTCTCTGATGGTGGTCTCTGAGTTGGCGGAATTCTGAAGAATCGCGTCTGCAGCGCTCGAGCCAGGAGAGCAGTCATGCGGGCCGTGACTTCCAGGCCGGCAGGATTTGAACCAATTTATGTACATTCTCCATTCGCGCCCTAGGTTACGGGCTCCGAAACCAGCTCTTCTCTCTCTCTCCCCCTTCTCTTGGTCGCGTCCGCTGTGTCCTCGACGATCCTCCGAATCTCCATCCGATAATGCCGCGTTGTTGGATCTACATTTCAATTATTACAGTAATCATAATCGCTTCTCCGATAGTTTGGCGCCTCCGCAGCGGCGGATGACAGGGCTGCGCCGAGCAGCGCGGGAAGCGGTGCGAACAGACTGCTCTATGCTCTAGTGGCACGCGGCATCGTCCCAACGCCAATATTGGCTGGCTGCAAGCGTAAAAAGCGGGCTTCTCGACGAGATTTGTTTTAAAGAGAATTAAGGGCATGTCGAGGGGCATGTGTTGTTGGATTCCTCTCTGGTATTATTTTTGTACTTTTTCAGTGTGTGCTGTTGAGGTCAAATTATAGCTTTAGCTTTCTTTTTGTTGAGAAAAACACCGCCAGTGTGGTGTCATAGTAGCGAGTAGGTTGGAATCCCGCGCTCAGCTCAGAGAGGAACTCGCGTCGCTAGCTAAAATGCTAGCTCAGCCCTTAGCGGCTGGCGCGCCGAGCCCCTCCGTGGCGCTGGCAGGCGGACACGCCAGTCAGACGTGTTAGGGCGTTCGGCAGCAGCGCATCACTAAAAGTAAGTGCTTGGTGGTTCTTCAACTTCAAATTGCGTTATCACGGGGCCCACATAATCCAAAATCTTGTGTTCTATCATTTCCGTCCACTCCCATCTCAGCTACTCTATCAGGGGACTGACGTGCAGAGCACACACACGCTCATACGACAGTACATCTGACTTAGTGGAGGGGCGGGATAGGTCGCTTTGGCGCATCGCCCGTTTGAATTTCTTTTATCTTTCGATGTGAAGTACTCTGTACTTCCTGACCGTCTCCCTATACCCTCCTCTTTGCGGTAGGCCGGTAGGTGGAGTTCTTTTAGGCGTCTTTCAGTAGGCTGTTATTGGAACAACTCGCCACGCTACGTGCACATGGTGTGGCAAACACGAGGGTCATTTAAATTGGTAGTTTTAATGCTGACACATGTGTGTTCGAGCATGGCACTTATGGTACAGCCAGTCTCTCAAATACACGGTTTAGGAGTGAAAACGCTAAGTCTTTCTCAAATCATTTCTCTTTGCAGCGTCGGTTAGTTCCGGGAGTTGAAGTTTCGCGTCCTTTTTTGCTTTTCAGTATTTATTTTTTAGAAATCGTGTGAGAGATTTAAGTAGTGTAGGCAGTGAATTTGGCCTTTTTGTTTGAAATAACTAACGGGGCAGTGAACTTTCTGTTTTGTTTTACCCAAACCCCCGACGTCTTCTCGCGTCCCCTGAGCGGCCAAGCGATGCGAGCCCGTGCTGACAAAGCGGTAGCGCCGCGGGGCCCTGAGGCACACAGTCAACAGCAAAAATATAGGATGGGGGGGGGGCTTTTCCCCCTGGTATAGACAGTCTTTGCGGGACGGTCTAAGAATCAGGCACATGTGCAGCTAAATTTTGCTTGTACATTTTGTTTGTTTGACT